TATATAGCGTGCATCATAAGGTGCATACTGAAATTAGTCTTTTAATATCAGTACAGTAGTACTTAGTACAAACCTGGTAAAAAATAACTGGCAGGCAGTAGAGGAAAGCCTTGTTTTGCCCTCCAGGCAGGCGTTCCTATGAGGGTTTAACATCATGTGAAAACTATGAAAAGATGTGCAGCAGAAAGCCTCAATTTGTTTACCGACTAATGATATGATACAAGCCAGTACTACATCTCTGCTTTGCCTCAACTTGTGCTCCAAAATTAGCTAAATTTGGCAACCTAGTCAAACATGCCATAGACAATAAGGCCTCACAATTAATTTAAATAGCTGCTATTTAGTAAAGAAATCCTTACTGATCAAATAACCACAGATTTCTGCTTTAAGTACTAAATTAAAAATCACCCAACGTCAAACGCAATGAAGATTAAAGATCCTCAAGTATTAAAGTGGACCTCATCAGATGCGGGCTTCTTAAGAGGGTAGACGTCATTTGGTCCACTAATGATGCAACGCTGTGCTTTGAGTCTCAGAGTCTCGTCCATTATTCCTTGACATGTGGGAGGGGGGTGTGAACTAATCAAAGACAGCTCATGGCTCAGCTCCCACAGGACTGACAATAATAATAGGTCATCTCACAGCATCACCCAGCTCACTTACGATAAGGAAGGATAATTCAACGTTACACCCGCCATGCTAGATAAATGAAGACAGTTTCCTTAGAGATGGGCAACAGTGATTCTTGTTACTCACCTAACAGATCTTTATTCTTCAGTGCAGATGAAAACTTATATAAAAGCCGGTATGAGTGTGTTTCACAACATGCAACAGTCAGCAATGGGTTCATTTTTAACTTTTGGTCCGGTTTTGTTTCTAATGGCACTTTAGATGTGTCAAACAAATGGGAAACTGTTTGAAAATATATAAAAATGTGACTTAAAGGGAAAGTTCACCCAAAAATGAAAATTCTGTCATCTTGTACTCACTCTCAAGTTGTTGCAAACCTTGTATGAGTTTTTTTTTTCTTCTGTTGAACACAAAAGAAGATATTTTGAAGAATGTTGGTAACCAATTGAATTAGCCATTGACTTCCATTGTGCTTTTTCCACAATATGGCAATCAATTGCTACCGTCAACAGTATGGTTACCAACAATCTTCAAAATATCTTTTGTGTTCAATAGAAGAAACTTTTACAGGTTTGGAACAACTTGAGGGAGAGTAAATGATGACAACATTTTCATTTTTGGGTTAACTCTCTCTTTAACTGGTAAATCGGCATTGATATCAAACAAGTCAAGCAGATTACAAGATTAAACAAAGCAAGATTATCTGGCCCAACAACCAGTGATGTAGGTTATGATTGTACTGATTATATCATCTAAAGTGCTTAAAGTGATTTACCCAATTAAAAAATTTTCCTGGATCAACATCCTTTGTTGGACCTGCAACAACATTTTTATTAATGACTGACTCAGTGTTAGTCAGAATATGACTAAGTATCTTGTAAAATAATTAACCCGACTGCCAAAACCAGAGTAAGCCAATATTCTGGTTTCTTGAAATCTTCTACTCAAATTTGAGGAGATGCCAACTGCTTTATTCATTGTTAATATGGAGATTACATGTACAGATAAATATCTGTTGATGTTCGAGCTAAGCAAAATGCATTTTGGCGTTCCTTACACAGTTGGCTAAACGTAAAAGCTAATCTTAAAAGCATTCAAATAAAATCACTCACGTTTTTTGTGACATACTTGTAATGTGTAAATCTTTACCAAAAAGACTAAAAGTCTGATGATAATAATCCTAACGAAAAGTGAGACAACGCCATATTGTTGCTATGGTTACAATGCGATTTGTGTTATGAAAGAGCTTTTACTGAACTTGTAATCTTTTATAGCGACTGAAATGTTTGAACGCATGAAACCCCCTCAAACTTTTTGTTTCACTTGCTGGGGATTTTTAAGACCCTTACCGCACCGTCAACATTAGAAACCCCTCTGCGTCCTTGCAATAAACTGATTGCCTTTTAATATTACATAAATTATTACATTAAATGAATAGCCTTATATTAACTTAATATCATACATTAACGTTTAAACTGTTTATTCACCATCTGGTCAGCGATTAAACAAACCATTTACAAAAGGAGCAGGTGACAAAATTAAAGCAAGAAAAAAATAAAGACACGTTTACAAGTTTTCTTACCTTATCTAGACGCGTTTGCCCTGTAGCTGTTCAAGTGAACTTTGGAGGAACGTTTCCTGTGTGCGTTCCTTCCTTCCTTCCTTCCACACCTAACGGGACAGGTAGCTAACAACTGACACAGCAACTCAACCAAAGGATATTAAAAGAACATGAGACCAAATTAAAAGGCACTCGCACTGGCAGACACGACAAGCATGTTTAGAAGCAATAAAAAGTGTCTAAACTCAAAGAGCAAGCTGTTTGTTTACTCGGCTCCAGGCGTTCTTTGTGTTGTCAAATGAGTGCTGTACCTGCGCTTGTGCTTATGGGAGTGAGACAGCACTAGCGCTGCCGACTGCTTATGGGCGGGGCTGATGCGGTATGGGCGGGGCCAAATGCTGCTGTCTTATTGTGCTCCCTACTGTTCAGTATGTAAAGGAGACAAATAATTTTTCAATGTTGAGCTTGAAATACAACATTTGTTATATTTTATTGTATTTAGCATTTATTTGTACATTACATTACTTGTCAAAGATGAAACCACACGCAATTTGCAGTTTAAAAGAGAATTTAGTGGATTAGTGGATTTTTTCGACGAATCCTTATTCAATTTTATTCAAACTAAGACTTTTAATGTAATACTCATATGTATGGTTCTTTTATAAGATAATTTCAAACGTTTTTTTTTTTTTCATTTTTGCTTGTTCACAAATTGTAGTTTTTAGCCATTTAAACTTACTTGTGAAAATAAAAAAAATAATAATAAAACTGTTAAATTAAGTTGTGCTTTCAAATGAATAGTAGGATATATTTCAATAAATAGTGGCAGCAAAGAACCATGAGACTAAAAACTAAAACACAGCTGAAAAATATAGCGTTATTTGTGGGTTATTTGGACTTTAGGGATCATTTTTGACAGACACAGGGGAAAATGAAATATTGGGAAGCCTTGGAAAGCATTTGAAAGTTTAAGTAAGACTGTCATTGATAAATCATACAAGCAAACGTTTGTGATCCCCAGTGCTTGTAAGTGTGTGTGTGTGGGGGGGGGGGGGGCACGTTTGCTTAGGTTGCAGCAGGGAAATTGCGTCCCCTGACATTTCGGGCCCTGTGAAATTAAAGTGGACACCTATTCTCTGCTCAGCTGTTGGTCACAGCATCCAGCTGCTCAGATATCTCCAAACTCCCATATTTGTCTGTTATACTTGTGAATAGCATGCATACATGATCACTCATAAGATAGATGGCATGAATCTGGAGTCGGGAAGGTGCTGTTTTTAAAAGAAGGATGATAAACAAACATTTTGAAACACCAAACCCCAAATTCCAATTGTATTTTGTTTAATGAGAGAAAAGGAAAGGAATAGACTAACCCCTGAATTTAAGAAAGCCATCACTTGTATAATACAACTGATTTCTTTGATCGCCATCTAGTGGTCAATATGGTGCAGGCTGAAAAAACGTTTTGAGCTAAGCTACTTTTTGTTCCCAATTCAAGAGAAAGGTTATCTGAATAATTACCTCAAAACCTTAAACATACCAAGTCAAATTTTGGGATTAAAACCTTAAGAACTAATCATCATGCTTTCAATTAGTAAAAGTGACTAAGGTCACAGTCAATTACTCCTTATCCACGATGACTAAGAGTCTGTTCATTAATGCAACACACATAGGCCCAGATATGCTGAAGGGCATTGCTCCTCATCAGCCTGAGCAAAGATTTTAGTCTTTCTCCCTTTAGTCACGACAGAGCCAAAATCATACTTAATACTTCTGACTTAATGTGCAAATGTACTTTCATACTTGTTGGGGAGGTTAGCCTACTTCTTTGCTTTTATTTTCCAATGACATGCATCTTACGGTGCTATAAAAAACTTGTCTGATTACTGCACCCACCCTAAAAGATGGTCATTTTGTCTTGCAAAAAAAGGACTTGTGCCTTTTAAAACAAAACAAAACTCCTAGGGGTTGCAGATCAGACCAACTACAGTATATGTTGGAAACTTCTGATTGCTGCAGTTGTAAAACAACACAATTCCATTTGTGATTTATGATTTATGTGAATTCAGGTATAAATAAATGAATTTGTTTTGCACATAAACCATTTATAAAACCAAAACCAACTAAACCAGTGTAAATAGTTTTTCTCACTAAATTCAATAAGAAATCAAAGACACATGCAATGCTGCACTAAGTTACATCAGCGTTTAAGAAGTAACTTTGCGCACATCTTACATCATACATGCTTGGCACAGCCCCCAGCTCAGCCCATAACTCAATTGAGGTTCACTGAGGTTCAACGAACATATATGGATATATTCTTAAAACATTTTAAACAGAACCAAAGTTTGAGTGTTGTGCCACTGTAGCAAGTAAGACATCTGCCACATGCAAGACTGAAGTCTTGAGAGAACTGAGATTTAAACTGAGGGTTTAAAGAGACTTTCCGGTAAACAACAGATTGCCATTTGCAGCAACACATACCACACACAGGTGGTCAATGCACAACACACATGCTTTTGTGCTTATAAGACACTTCGAAATTTACCTAATAAAAATCTGAATTTTTACAGCAATTTTTTATCTTTAATGTATTTTTATGGAATAAAATTCTCAAATGCTCATTTGATGCACATTTGATGCATACAAAGAAAGAAAGAAAGAAAGAAAGAAAGAAAGAAAGAAAGATCACCACACCATTATAAAATTCAGGAAAAAACTATATTAAGTTCAGTAAAATTATAAAAGTTACTTTGAAATGTATATAGCCATTTCTGCACCACACCCACAGCCTGAAAAAGAATTCATGCTTTGACGTGGCAGTGTTGGGGGAGGATGTGAGCTTGGGGAGCATGTCTCTACATCCCCTGACAGAAGAATCTGGAAGGAATGGTGACAAAGACATAAAACTTTGTGATTATAATGGTTACATCATATATCCTGGGGTCATTTATGTGATTTATCGACAAACAGTTGTTTCAAACTTTATATTCTAGCATAAAATGCACATTCTGTTCTGTAAAACACTGCCAACTCAGCAGCGCAAATTTGGGTTCAGTGGTAAAAATATTATACAGGACAAAACATTATCATCTTCCATTACACATTTCATGCCAAAATATACAATTTTATATTTACAACTCTTAGTTTAAATGAAGATGACACTAGTTTAATGGCAGAGATTAACTGATTGTTTGCAGATTTCAGAAGGCTTTAGGACCTTGCAGAGGTTGAATCTTGTGGTCATTGGATCCAGAGGGAGGACTCTCCCAGCTTCCCTAGGAAATCCAAACATCCTCATTCGAATAGCCCGGCTCCAGCTTCTAGAAGTTTCTTTCCTGGAGTATAAAGGCCTCTGTGTCAAACATTCTGCAGCAAAGCAGCATCTGGGAAAAGAAGAAGAGAACATCTGAGAAAAGAAGAGGAACACATCTGAGAAAAGAAGAGGAAAACATCTGAGAAAAGAAGAGGAACACATTCAAACAACTGTCCAAGGTAATTATTGGGGAAAATGCTATTATTTCACAAATATTTATTTGGAATGGCCTTTTTTTTTTTTTTTTGCTTGCAATCTAAAAAGGCGACTGCACACAGGGTCAGAGAATACTCTTCTTTACTCTTCTTTCTGCTTTTCAGTCCATTTTGCACTTTTAAAAATGCATTTACAGGCAACGCAATCCAAAATTAAGTATAAGGTTATTTATGTTTTTGCTTTTTTCCCAAAGAAGAAAGGGAAAAATAATTTTCTTTAGTCAAAAAACTGCTAAAACACCTACAGGTCCGTTTTTTCATGCGTTGGACAGTCATGGGATGTTCAATGATGCATATTTTTTCAGATGTGTGTACGATTTTTCCATTATTTTTTACCCTATATTTACAAAAGAGTGATGAAATCTTTCCGATCAGGAGTGGTTTTATGCTGTCACTCAATCAGTGCTACCTCTGGAATTCAGATGTGGGTCTACTGTGGAAGTTCTGATTGGTTGAAAGTTTCCACCTAATATCTTCTAGCCAATAAGAAGAGTCTACATGTCTTTCTTTCTCTGTGTGCATGAAGTAGCAGCAGACCTTGGCTTCAAAATAAACCTATGCTTAAGAGAAGCAAGGAGTTCAAGGAGGGGGTTTTTTGCACGTTATCCAATGCATATAAAGATATTTTTGTGTAGATTACCCAAATGCACCTCTTGTCTTTCAGAGTGAAAATCGCAATCGTTGACAACTATGAATATGAAAACGTATCAAGGTATCCAAGATGATAAAAAAAAGCAACATACAAAGAAGAAACAGATAAAAGACACAAACATAATAAGTGAATGAATAACCATGCTGACTTACATAAGCTGCTATCTTGAGGTTGTTAGTGGATAGGGACACATAACATCTCACAACAACAGTTTTAAATCAAACTTTCAACATGCAGTGTAATCTCTATATGCAGTAAAGTTTTTAACATTTATTTTAAAGTGATTTGGCACATTTCAGAACTGTATAAAATGAGCAGACTGACATTAAGCAGTGGATTCCTGTCTGATTAGTCACTGCCATTGCTTTTGTTTAACAGGTTTGATCTAGAAACATGGCCTACAGGCTTTATTTCTGTAGTTTTAACTATTTAGGGTGCATACATTTCAAAAACATAATAAATCAAAATACAAAATGGTTTAAAACTGATAAAATTATCAAACAATTCACCATGCAGCCTTTTGTTCCTAAAACAAACACACAGAAAACCTAAATTTCCATTACTGAAAAATTGGTCATTTTACACTCAGTATCACTTGTTGCTTCTTTTCTCTTCTAGGCTTTCATTGCTGCCCAAAAATACAGCAAGCATGTTGGTATCCAACCTCATTGCTCTGTGCCTTTTGGCTGTGGCAGTGTCCGGTGAGGACAAAAAGCTGAGTCCCCATGCAACCTCCATGGCAGACACCAGCGCTAACCTGGCCTTCAATCTCTACCACAATATCGCCAAAGAAAAGGATCTTGACAACATCCTCATCTCTCCTGTGGTGGTGGCCTCCTCTCTGGGAATGGTTGCCATGGGCGGCAAATCCTCCACTGCGTCCCAGGTGAAGAGTCTCCTGAAGGCTGACACCCTGAAGGATGACCATCTGCACACAGGGCTGTCCGAGCTTCTGACTGAGGTGAGCGACCCCCATGCCCGCAACGTCACGTGGAAGATCAGCAACAGGATGTATGGCCCCAGCTCAGTCAGCTTTTCTGACGACTTTGTCAAGAACAGCAAGAAGCACTACAACTACGAACACTCGAAGATCAACTTCCGTGATAAGAGAAGCGCCATTAACTCCATCAATGAGTGGGCTGCCAAGTCAACTGACGGAAAGCTGCCAGAAATTACCAAGGATGTGAAAAACACAGATGGGGCTATGATCGCCAATGCTATGTTCTTTAAACGTAAGTATTCAAATTAAGATGTCATATAAATTGCATTTAATTATTCATCCCGGACGAACCCCCAATTGATATTTACTTTCATAGTTCCAAGAATATCTGTATAAATTACTTTTAAATGATTACATTTTATTAAATTATTCACACAGATCTAGTCACCATGTCCTGGCTTTTTTATATAGATAGGATGAATATTTACTTGAATAGTTACAGGAATCTCTATATAAATGATATTTAATTAATAATTGTTCAATTCTATTTAATTATTGATCTTGGCTGGCCCCATTTTTCATGTCCTGTTTTTGTAAATAAATGTTTTGCTATGATGGATATTTACTTTGACAGTTCCTGGAATGTCTATAAAAAATTATACTTAAATACTAATCATTAAATCATATGTAATTATAGATTCAGAAGTCAGCATTGATATTTACTTTTGATAGATATTTAGGATTGATATTTATTTTACGTAAGTATTAATTTACATTATTTATCCTGAAGAGAGCCAGGCCAAAATAACAAACACAATACTGACTAGAAAGACCAACCTAATTATTAATATTAATGGCTTATTTCTGTTCCACAGCCCACTGGGATGAGAAGTTCCACCACAAGATGGTTGACAACCGTGGTTTCCTGGTTTCCCGCTCTCACACGATCTCTGTTCCAATGATGCATCGCACAGGTAAAACCAACAGCTTGTTTTGAAGTCTCTTACTCAAATTCTACTATACCTACAAGTGAACTTAACATTATTTAACTTTGCACTTTACAGGTATCTACGGCTTCTATGAAGACACACAGAACAAGCTGCTTGTGGTCAGCATGCCTTTGGCACATAAGAAGTCCAGCATGATTTTCATCATGCCCTACCATGTGGAGCCTCTGGAAAGGCTGGAGAAACTGCTCACTCGCCAGCAGCTGGACACCTGGGTCAGCAAGCTCGAGGAGATAGCGGTCGCCATCTCTCTACCTAAAGTTAGCATGGAAGTCAGCCACGACCTTCAGGTAAATATGGCTGATTTTTGCTATATAGTTGCTATATAACCACTACTACTATTTTGTGCATGAAATATGAGGCTCTTTCCTCTTGCTTTGCAGAAACATCTTGCAGAACTTGGTCTCACTGAAGCTGTGGACAAGTCTAAGGCAGACCTGTCCAACATTTCTGGCAAGAAAGATCTTTACCTCGCCAATGTCTTCCATGCCTCTGCCTTGGAGTGGGACACAGAGGGAAACCCATTTGACACCAGCATTTATGGTAGCGAGAAGATCAGGAACCCCAAGCTCTTCTACGCCGACCATCCCTTCATTTTCCTAGTGAAAGACAACAAGACCAACTCCATTCTTTTTCTTGGCAGGCTAGTTCGGCCTAAGGGTGATAAAATGAGAGATGAATTGTAACTTTTAGGCTATTGATGTTTTAAAATGGTATTATTGTTATTATTGGTTTGACTGTTACCTCATGTGGCCATTCCGATGGATTATCTGTGTATGGACAGTCTCAGTGAACCTGTCAGTACAAAAACATTTTTAAGGAGACCGGTTACAGTATAAACATCAGGAGCAATGCAATCCTATAGGTGAAGAATTAGAACCCTACAAATGTAACCAGAGATTTGACATCAATTTGTTTATGTGTATTATTCAATGTAGACACTATGCTTATATTAAGTGTAGTGCCATTGATGTTAAGCTGTGGTATTTTAGATTGTGCTTGTAGAACCTCTCTTTATGAGTATGTGACATCTATGTAGGGTTTGTCTTATCTTTAATGTTTAGAGGGAAAAGGTAGTCCTATTCAAGTGTTTCTCAAGCATAGTTTGTAGGTTTCTATGATTTCACTTCCATCCAAAAAAAAAACTCTTGGCTTCTGCACTGATACCTGCATGTCTCCAGTTTCTTAGATGTTATGTTTAAATATGTCTTTACCATATAGTATCTTTTGAGAAAGTGTGCTGATTTTTTCTCTCCTTCATTTCATTGTTGTTGTTGTTTTTTTCAATAAACTGAAATGTTTGAAAATATATATTGTCCTGTTTTTATTTAAATAAATGAATAAATCCATAAAATAAATTAAAACATAAATAAATCCATACAAAAGATCAAATCTAAAATAATACATAAAACAAATAAATAAAATCTAAAATTGAATAAAAGCCATACTATCCTGAATAACTGACAATAACTAATAACGACAGATAAAAGCACAGCACATTGTCACTGCTCTGTCATTCCTGACAGTTTAATCCCAGTCATTCGCCTCTGTGGACTGGAATGTGAAGCTTTAGCTGTGTGTTTATTCCACTGAGGGAATAAAATGTTATGGCACCATAAACCTCTAAACCACAAAGAGGAGTTTTGACATGAGAAAGTAGCTATTTCCTTTCACACTAGCAGATCCATCCTGTAGGCTGAATGAGCCAATGAGTGGACATATACAATAGAAGGATTAGCGGCTGGAGTCAAGGGCTGGCATGGTGAGATAGGCAATCAGAAGAGGCTAAGAAAATAGTCAAAGAGGAGATCGTCAAGATAAATAACCAACCTGTAAACCTAGCCAGGATAACCCAGCCGACGTAATGTAATGTGCATAATATTCATAAAATGAAAGCAACTGGTTTAAGGATTAGAGAATACTGAATGTAGGCTACGGAATCATTGCTTTGGGTTGATCCACAGAACAAAACCTTTATAACAGGAACAAACTGCAGAAAAGACCTCCAGTTCTCAAAACATTTTGTTAAATGAGAAATGGTTGAGAATAAAGAACAAACCAAGAACAACTTTAAACTTTTCGACAAATAGGCTTTTATGTCACAACACCTTTTTACTTATATTTACTTAGGCCTACCTGTTTACTTTTATTTGAATAAATAAAATATAATAAAATTAGCTGTCGCCGTTGCTAATTAGTGTCGCAAATTCTAAAGCTTAAATACTGTAGCCTACTTTGTACTTATGAAGTAGGCCTAGCCCTCACTTAGCAACTTGTTTGCAACATATGCCTACGTTTTTAAAGTACTTTGTGTTGTAAAACAAAACGTTAAAGTTAAACCTTATACAGTCTGCGAGTTAAACACATAGCCTACTTTAGTTTTTTTTTTTTTTTTCATAAATAAAAAAAATCGCCATACTAAAACCAAAATAGGAAATAATCTTGAGGGGACCTGAACGCAAGTGTTCATCAGTGACAAGAACAATGATTTGGTGCTTGCCTTGATATGCTGCGAAATATAGCTAATATCAAACCTGATATGATTGACATCGGTAGCCTTAAACAATTAAACAACTTAAATTAAATTAAATTAAATTAAACAGTTAAACAATTTTTCTAGCTGCTTTCTTGTGTAACACTTAACACCGTTAAGAAACCTTGAATCAGGTGACTCATCTGTTTTGAAATGATGGAAATTATTGTTTACGGAGGCTGTTACTTAGCTTTCATTATAGCCTGTAATGCAAGAAGAAACAAAAAGGCATGGCAAAAAATGACTTGTTCAACTGTGTTATTGTCTGTACCGAGCATCAGAACATTGTCTTTTGCTAGCATAAAATTGAACGTTTCAAGTCTCCTAATGCTATCCTTATTAATACAATTGCTCATGAAATGTAACAATTATAGTATAATATTGTACAGTGCTTATATACAGCATGTTTAACAGACAATTAAAAATGCCAGGAGTGCAAAACTGAACTATTAAAGAGAGGCCTGTTGAGATCTGACAGGCCTTTACATTGACTCCCAGAAAATGAGATCACACAGAAAAATTATAATTAAAAATGCCACTCAGGCTGTGCCTGGTAGGTTTGATTTACAGAAAATGCAAGTTATCATTTTAAACAGCTTATGTAAGGCAGTCAATCCCTCTCAGACAAACCCAGCCTACATGTTTAATACAACTTAAACTGCACAGCATCTTAAACATTTCACTTTACATCCAGTACAAGCTCATGTGCTTCATCAGAGAGAGACAGGACCCTTTATTAAACCGATTTGTCTGATTTTATATGTAATTTAAAAGCAGTATCAGTTTTGCCCTGTTTTCTAAATGTATTGCCAAGTACAACTAATAAATATTCTGCATAGTATAAATAAATATCTTTTGCATAAATGACCAGAATTCACAGAATTATTGCATTCCATTTTGTAATTCCTCTTAAGCAACTTCTTACTCAGCATAAACACAGTCATATTTCACGATTTCATGAGTCCAGAGACAACGTACAGCAGCCTTACATTTGTAATCACTTGCTACCAACCAACCTCAGTCGATCTGGCTTTTGCATAAACATCGCTAGAATATCCCATTTGGTCTTTGCAGCAGATGTCCACTAAGCCTCGCCAAATCTGATTATGTCACTACATTGTTTTTTGTTTAGAGAAGATCAAAGAAAATCAATTAAAGCTCCACCATGAGTAACAAATATGTGAGAACACAAAATGCGAAACATCTGTGAAAAAAAAAACATCTGTGTCGCCTTTGGTACGAGACGCACACTGAGCCACTCTGTGACCAAAACAGAGTAAGTGTGACAGTGTTAGACACTGGGAAAGAAATACACTCTCACTGACTACATGTTCTTCAGAGGCCATTTCATTAGCGCTGTTGTTTCTGCTGCGCTGGGCAGAGTCGGATTAGACAGACGACAACCAATCCTATTAAAGTAGTCTTTGTAAGCTGCAGTGAAACACACATGCTTGTGTTGTCCATTGTTTCCCTCCCATGCAACTTGTCATGTGTCTTTCCTTCTTGGTCAGTTTTAACATCCTTGTGCTTCTCAGATTTTGGGCTTGTCCACTTGTCTGTTGGCCTTGCGAAATATTGACTTGATCTCCTCCGTCATCATGTCTTGCCAGTTATCTCTAAAAGATGAGAAGTAATTTAGAAAGTTATCAATGATGATGAAAGACAGAATTGTTTATCATTTTTGGACCTTGTAAAGTAATGCATTTCAAACAACCTGCAACAATACACAACATGCACAAATAATCGGATAAGCAGAAAGTCCGACACCACAATAACCACCATCACCGCACAAACAAACCCACCAGAAAACACCCTAACCAAATGACAAATACAGCACAGCATGCAAGGTACTACCTCCTTGCAAATGTCTATGGGTTCATGCCTTTTTCTCAGCTTTCCTTCTCCTGTAAGCCTCAATGTCCTCAGGTCTCAAACCATGGTTGTCTTCCCTGATGCATAAATCCAATTATCCAATCCATAAATAGTATCCCATTCATAAGTACAAAGAGAATTAATCTAAACCACAAAATGCATCTAAAAGTACAATTTATTTGGAAAGTGGTGCAGTAAAATACAATTTATATTCAGTTAAATAAAGTGCAGTATAATAAAAAGGCCACTGCTTATATATACTGTATATATATATATGTGTGTGTGTGTGTGTGTGCATACAAAATTTATATTTGTTTAAAATAAGTGGTAAAATACTATTAAATCCTTACCCTGGTTTGATCTCTGGTGGTTTTGGCAAAGGCTTTGTAAAATTAGACTTTCCTACAAGCCAGTATGTTTCTTCAATGCCTTTCCCCTAAAAAAAAATCCATAAACATGAATAAAAAATGAAAAATGTCCACTGTAAGTTACTGCAAAAGTTTGGGGGTCAGTAAGATTTTTTTTAATGTTCTTGAAAGAAGTCTTTCATGCTCACCAAGGCTGCATTTATTTTATCAAAAATATAGAAAAAAATGTTTTTGTTTTTTTTTTGCAATTTGAAATTATTGTTTACCATTTTAATACATTTTAAAATCATTCTAATATACTAATGTGGTGCTGAATAAAAATTCTCACTTATTTAAAATAAAAATCTTTTACATTATAAATGTCTTTAATGTCACTTTTGATCAATTTAATGCATCCTTGCTGAATGAAAGTATTAACTGACCACATATATTTGAACGGTAGTGTATGTTCAAATATTATATAGTTATTATTTATTATTTAGTATGATTCTTAAAAGAAAGTGTTTGTGTTAGTACCTTAAGCTCAGTCTTTCCTCGGACTTCTATTTTGTAGCCATCGTTCAGTGAGCGGAGAATATTCACTGTACTAATGTTCACATGAATTCTGTAAGCTGAAGGAAATAATGTTTATTGATGTATCTTCTCATTACAGTGCATCATGGGTTAGTAAATCACAAAAATATCTGAATGGAACATACGCAACCCTGTAGATTCCATACGAGAGGCGGTGTTGACTGTGTCTCCAAAAAGGCAGTATCTAGGCATAGTTAGACCCACGACTCCAGCAACACACGGACCTGGATAGAGAAGAAACATGAGAGGATGAGGGACAAGAAGTACAAATTTGGACATCAAAAGATTACATGAGCATCACAAGAGGGTTTTTGTTCAGTACCACTAAGCGGATGAAAATAGCTGGAGATTGAGAGCTCACCTGAGTGAATGCCGATCCGTATTCTAACCGGAACTTCTGGCATGTG